GAGGGAGGGAGGGGAGTGTCGGAGGATTGTGGAGGGAGAGGGTTCAGCCCGGGATAATTTCCATAAGGTTTTCGGTCTGGTTTCATTCGGGGTCGGCTCTGGCAAGGCGTGAAGTCTGGGGAATCTGGGTTTTCGTTTTGGGCTCAGTCACTTTGATGCCAATTTGGATTTTCCACTACAGCGTCGGTTTGCTTCGTCGCGACTTTGTTTGACTGTAGGAGTGAGAGGACGGGAAGGAGGAGCCATTATGAGCTATATGACCATAGGCCTTCTGTGGCTTTATGGGCCTTTTGGGTCTCTGAGCTCTACAAGCCCTGTGGGTCTCAGGGGCTGCATTCAGCTTATTCTCCATCACGCTCCCCTCCCAGGACTCCTTCTCCCCCCTCATCCTTCTCCCCCATCGTCTCCCCTCCCTTCCTCCTCCACATTCGCTCCCTGCATCCTTCCTTCCTGCCCTCCGCCTGCTGCTGCTACCCCTGGAGGGGGAGGGAGTAGAGTGGGGACCCATGCCAAGAAACACCCTGCTTGCCTCCAGGGTGCCCTGGGTTTCCTGGGTCTCGATGGTTATGCTATGAACATCGTGTCGCTCCCACACCAAAATCAATCAACGTTCTGGGGTCTCAGGCTGGGCTTCTCGTGGAGGTTTTCCTGTGGTCGAGCCCCTACTGTAGCAGGACAACGGTGGAACAGGAGCAGGTGCAGCGGGAGGAGAGCCTCCTCTCCCCTTTTTTCGCCCCTCCGCCTCCTCCCCCAACAGTTTTCCATTAGGCGTGCCACTCTCCTCCCTCCCCCGAACACGGCCAGGACGTGGCCCGCCCCCCCTCGTGTGCTGCCCTCTTGCGCCCAGGAGTTGGCCTGATGTGGTATTTCCCATGCTTTCCCAAGGCATCCTGTGGTGTCGGGCCCTCGTCTTGAAGAGACAGCTGCCCGCGTTCCTTCTCCTCCTCTCCTCCTCCACCTCCTCCCTCCTCCCATCCCTGCCTCTGCCCTCCGCACCAGTCAACCATGTCGCCACACCCCTCACACGCTTCGTGGCCCCATAGGGAGCTCGACCGCAGGCCCCAGTGGCTGCGTTCGCATGCGCCCACCGCACCCATGCCGGCACACCCCTCACACGTTTTGTGGCCCCATAGGGAGCTCCACCGAATGCCCCAGTGGCTACGCTCGCATGCGCCCGCCGCTCCCATGTCTGCCAGCCCCCTCATTCATTTCGGCACATCCCTTATACGTTCCCTGGCCCCATGGAGCTCCACCGAAGACGATGTTCACAATTGCGTTAGTCACAACTGCATATGGTTCAGTCCTTCGCCAGGCTAATTTAGTCGGAACGTGGCAGGTGTCACAAATTGGTGCTGCCGCTGCATCGTTTCCCTTATATCAGGATCCGCGCTTTGCTCCTGTCCTGTCGTTAAACAAGGCGCTCTCGCCCCAGCGCAGACCCCCTTTTTTGGACCCGAGCCTCATCGTTGTCGCCCCCCTCAACTCCCCTCCTCCGCCTTCCGTGGTCCTCTTGCTTCTCCCGCTCCTTCCAGTCCAGTTCCTGCTGCTGCTTTTCGTCCTCATCCCCCTCCTCCTCCTCCTCCTCCCCCTATTCCTTTTGCTCATCCTCCTGCTCGTCCGCTACCGCCTTTCCCCCCACCTCCCCTTCCCCCCGCCTATGTAAGCAGCTCACGTTTTCCGATTGCGCATTATACGCTGGAGTCTTTTTGGGAGTTCAAGGTCCGCTTTGATACGCATGTGTGGACAGAGACAAGTCAACGCAATGGGAAGCAATGTCTGCGAGGGGTAGGATGTCTGATATGGCGCGAGCGAGTCAAGCTTGACATCCCTCCTCTCTCTTTCATCCTTCTTTTTTGTGAGCACGCATGGACTGTCATGCCATCGTCCACCACCGCTCTCCCACCTTTCTCCTCCTCGTCCTCCTTACCCTCCCTTCTCTTCCCCCCTCTTCTTCGACACCGCCTTCTTTGTATTTTGAAACTTCCAGGCCCCGCTCTTTCAGGGCCTCCAGAAGCTTTCGGATGCCCCTGGAGAGCGGGGAGGGGGAGTTGGTCCGAGCTCGTGTTGTAGTTCTTTCTTGCTTTACATCGTGCGATATCGCCTTGTTGTCCTACATAATTTTACAATGCTTGGTTGTCGTATGTTGTATCCTATCTTCTCTGTCTTGTGGTGTCGTTGTCTATCGTCTTATATCATATTGTCTTATGATGTCGTTATGTAGCGTCATGCAGTGTTGTTTTTTTTGGCATGCTTCGTCGTCTGACTGTCTCTTCTTGTATTTTATCGCGCGATAGCTGGGTGATCGACTTTGAATCGTCGTATCGGGTTTTCCATATCGTCTTATGCCTGCTTACACCGTCTGGGCGCAATCGGCGGAGCACCTGTGACCACACTGAAGAACCAACTGACCATCACTGATTTTCACATTCTCCGGGGCTCTGCAGGGTGCTTTTCGCCCCCCCTGGGCCTGTGAGGAGGGCTGTTTGGGATGTCTTCAAACGTCTTGGAAGTGTTCGACCTTCCCTTGGGCTTTGTTGGACCGCTCTGGTCGCTCACTGTGCCCCCCAGAGTTGTTTTCAGCGGCCAAGGTGAGGCCCTGGAGGCCACGGAGGGGTCCGGGCACATGATCTATATCTATGTATATATATATACACATGATGTGTATACGTATACATATATGCATACGTGTGAAGGAACAGGGGCAGAAATGATAACGATGCAGGTGATTGAGCGATCGGCACATCGTGTACCTGTCGCGGGAAAGACTAATCTACGAATAGGGAATGAGCAGGTGTTGATGATGATGATGATGATGGTGGTGATGATGATGATGATGCTGATGACGGCGAACTTGCCGCATCCTTGCCTGGCCAACTATATTCGACATTCTGTGATGGGGTCGGTTTCTATATACATGTATATATATATATATACAGCATCGTCGAGAAGTGCAGTAGCGTTACCTTCTTTCAAAGCGGTCTGCAAGATCTTCTACGACACAGCCCCGGCAGCGGGGACCCAGAATGGGCGAGGCTATTCTGCCCGCGCGTTCCCTGGCACAGGCACCTTCTGAGCAAGTGCGCGTAGAGCGGGGGTGCTGCCTTTGCTGAAAAAGAAAGGGCGATGACGATGACGATGACGATCTTGATGATCATGATGGCGATGACGATGACGATTGCGATGCTGATAGTGCAGATTATGACGACGACGGGGATGGTGGTAATGACGACGATGCTTCTGATGCTATTAACGCTGCTGATGATGCAGATGATCTATACAATGATGAGGAGACTGATGATGATCATGATGACGACGACGACGAAGATGATGATGATGATGATGATGATGATGATGATGATGACGATGATGATGATGATGATGATGATGATGAGGATGATGATGACGATGGTGGTGGTGATGATGATCACGATGACGATGATGACGATGACGATGGCGACGATGATGATGATGTGCTGGGGAGCGCTGATGGTAATGATGGTGACGATGATGACGCTGCTGCTGCTGATGATGATGATGCAGATGATGACGATATTGACGATTTTGATGACGATGACAATGATGACGATGACGATGATGATGACGATGATGATGACGAGGATGATGATGATGATGATGACGAGGATCAGGGATCTGATGATGACGACGCTGCTTCTGATTCTGATGCTGATGTTGATTATGATGAGGATGTTGATCAGGATGAGCATAAGGATGATAATGATGATGATGCTGATGCTGATGATGGTGATGATGGCAATGATGATGATGATGATGATGATGATGATGATGATGATGATTATGATGAGGATGATGATGCTGAAGCTGATGATGAGGATGAGGATGATGATGCTGATGCTGATAATGATAATGATAATGATGATGATGATGATGATGACGATGGTGGTGGTGATGATGATGACGATGATGACGATGATGACGATGATGACGATGACGATGGCGACGATGATGATGATGAGCTGGGGAGCGCTGATGATAATGATGGTGACGATGATGACGCTGCTGCTGCTGATGATGATGATGCAGATGATGACGATATTGACGATTTTGATGACGATGACAATGATGACGATGACGATGATGATGACGATGATGATGACGAGGATGATGATGATGATGATGATGATGATGATGATGATGATGATGATGATGATGATGATGATGATGATGATGACGAGGATCAGGGATCTGATGATGACGACGCTGCTTCTGATTCTGATGCTGATGTTGATTATGATGAGGATGTTGATCAGGATGAGCATAAGGATAATAATGATGATGATGCTGATGCTGATGATGGTGATGATGGCAATGATGATGACGATGACGATGATGATGATGATTATGATGATTATGATGATGCTGATGCTGATGATGAGGATGATGATGATGATGCTGATAATGATGATGATGATGATGATGATGATGATGACGATGATGATGATGATGATGATGATGATGATGATGATGATGATGATGATGATGATGATGATGATGATGATGATGATGATGGTGATGGTGATGATGATGATGATGATGATAGTGGTGGTGGTGATGGTGATGATGAGGATGCTGATGACAATGACGATGACAATTACGATGACGAGGATGATGAGATGATGATGATGATGATGATGATGATGATGATGATGATGATGATGATGATGATGATGATGATGATGATGATGGTGGTGGTGGTGGTGGTGATGATGATGATGATGATAATGACGATGACGATGACGATGACGATGACGACGACGACGATGATGATGATGATAATGATGCTGATGCTGATGCTGATGCTGATGATGATGATGATGATGATGATGATGATGATGATGGTGGTGGTGGTGATGGTGGTGGTGATGTTGACGATGATGATAACGATGATGACGATGACGATGGTGACGATGGCGACGATCATGATGAGCTGGGGAGCGCCCGCGCTCCTCCGTCGAGGCCAGCTCCAGCTGCTGCTGGCCGCGGGCCTGCCGCCGAGGCCTGGCGGGCCGTGCGACGCCAGGCGCCGGGCGGCCCGCGGCGGCGGTCGCGGCGCGGCCGGGACGTGCTTCCGCCCTCCCCTGACATTCGGTGGCGAGCCCGTGGGGGGAAGTGAGGACGGAAATGTAGTCGAGACCGACGGTAAGGATGGGCAACCTTCCCAAGGGTACCCTTGCACCCGCGCCTCATCGGTCCATGCTGAACTGCTCTCGATGGCCAGCCCCGCTCGAAAAGCTTCGACAGTGGCTTCCAAGGCCCCTGCATGCACGGTTACGATCGACATGGGTACGGACAAAAATGGTCGCGAAAACCGCCAGCATGTCTGGTCAATTCTGAACACGTTTCGCTGTCGGCGTCGCGGCGGAAGCTGTCCATCTGAGACAGAAGGCCGCTTGACCAACAGCGGCCGCTGTCGGTTTGAGACAGCATTTGTTGTCGGGCATCGTGCCCATCTTTCGACGGCTCGCCGAGGGGGGAAGTGAGAGGGGGCAGGCCTTCTCAGAAGGCGGCGGAGCTTCTCAGAAGCCCTCGCGCCTTTGAGAAGTCTTCCAGGCCTCCTTCGAAGGCACGACGCATTCTCAGAAGGCGCGAGGGCTTCTGAAAAGCCCCGCCGCCTTCTGAGAAGGCCTGCCCTCGCTTCACTTCCACCCGGGCGCGCTGCCGAGATATGCCCGCGTCCTGAAAAATGACGATGGCCGGCTTCTGTAAATTCTCGGCCTCGGGGGGTTTCCGTGTGCCCGGGGACATGTCGAGAAACGGTTCAGGATGAAAAGCCAGTCCCCAGGGGAATTCTTGACGCTTCGCGTATCCCCACCATCCGCAGCCCCCTTGGCTCAAGTCCGTAGCCTGGCTCAAGCCGTCTGGTGGGCCTGCCTCCTCCGGGGCAGTCTCCCGCCTCTCAAGGGGGCGCCCAGACGCCGCTCCGTTCCCCCCGCCCAGGAACGCAGTGTCCCTCCGTTGGCCACGCAGACGATGCCTGACCCGCTAGATGGAGAGGATGACGACGCAGATCGTGCAGTACACGGTTCGGGAGGCCAACTACTGCCAACGATCGGGACAACATCCCCCCACATGGAGCAGCCATCGCCCACAGGCGTGGCAGACTCCTCCTTGCTTGGTGGAAGGAGACTCACAGGCACCGGGGGATGGCCCGGACGCGACGACGAATCCTGAGCATATCCCAGTTCCTCCCACGCTTCCCCCCTCCCCGCGAAGGCGGGTGGACAGCCCACCGGGGGCTCGAGCACCGGGTGCTGCCCAGCCTGCAGTGGTCGGAAACGGAGCCTCAGAACCCACACGTGGGACAGTGGGAAAAGGGCGCCCAGGTGACGACGACGCGGGACATCGAAGGGAAGACGACGCTTTCCCCCCGACGGTGTTGACGGAGGACCCTCCGCAAGTGACGCAGGCAGAGACATCACCGCCCCCCCCCTTCTCCTCCTTCAATTCACCAAATCTTGCGGTTATCGGCTGCGCCTTCTCCTCCTCTCATCCTCCTACCGTGCAAGGCTCTCATGCGACGTCATCCGTGGCTCGACACGATGTTCAGAGACTGGCCAGTGGAGCGCCTGTCACTGGGTTCCCCCCGACAGTGGGAGCAGCAGTCCCCCCACAGTTCGGCGTGAGGAGATCCATCACAGACGACCCAGGCTCCACGTGGACGCACACGAACGACGACTCCCCCTCCTCCTTCAATTTACCAGATCTTGCGGTTATCGGCTGCGCCTCCTCCTCTCCTCCTCCCCCTACGGCGCGGGGCACGCCTGCTCTCCCCCCCATGGTGAGTCACAGTGCCCTCGACCAGGACGGCGGGACAAGGATGGCTGATGCAGCAGATGCTGAACGGGTCACCTTCAGAGAGGAAGATGACCCCATGCGAGCACGCATCGACGACCGCTCCCTCCCCTCCACCAAGTCACCAGATACTGCGGCTATCGGCTGCACCTCCTCCTCCCCTCATCCTCCCATCACGCGTGTTCCCCCCGCTAATGGACGGGGTCAGCGACCCCTACGAGACATAGGCAGTCCATCGAGGATACTTTCCCCCCGCACGGAGCCAGCGCAAGCTCAGGTAGAGACAGAGGCCGACGACTCGAGCCTCGCAAGGGCGCGCGTGACCGTCTCTTCCCCCCCACTCCTCCAATTTTTTACCAGTTTCTGCGGCTATCGGATGCGCCTCCCCCTCTCCTCCTCCGCGCACGGTGCGCGACGATCTGGCTGCGGCCCACGGGCGCCCGCCACCTCAGGACTCAGAAGCACGCAGGACGCCCGAAGCATCCGAGGTGACACCTGGGGCCAGTACCCCAGATAGTGGTGTTGCTCAGAGGGGAGAGACTAGCCCTGGTATACGGACAAGCGGTCGCCCGAGTAGGCCCCGAGGCACGACGCGAGGTCCCCCATGCGACCAGGAAGGGGGCCTGGCAGGGAGGGGCGCTGATGACGCCTGCCCGCAGATGCAGGGCCTCCCAGCCCCCGCGGAAGAGATAGGTGCTGCGCAAAGCGGCACACACGAGGCGATGCATCACGCGCCAGAGACCCCCAGCGGAGGCCGAACCGTGGCCTCCCCCGACAGGGCTTCCCTCCCACCGCATGAACCAACTGCGGCTTTCCCGACTTGGCTACCCAGGGCTGACGCGACAGAGGACGTCGAAATATCCCCCACTGTGCCATTCGATCCGATAGGAATCGGCGCAGGCGGAGAGAGTCAGCATCGCGCGGAGCACGGCCGCAACATGAGGACAGGGACAGACGCTGTATGGGGGGTCGCCCCCATGCGAGGGCGAACGAGAAATCGGCACCCCGAGCGACGGGTGGGCGCAGGATTGGGAGAGCGACGACGGAATCAGCATCGATTCGGGCGCTCGGGGTCTCGACAGCCCAATCCCCCCCCCCCCAGGCATCTGGCCGTTCCCGCCCCCCGGCTCAAGGGCGCGCAGCCCAGGAAGGAGGGGGGGCACTCACAGACAGGGGAGACACGCGCCCCAGCTCAGACCCCCCCCCTCCACCAGGACGAGGGGTGTCACGTGACATCGATTCACCCTGCCTTGCCCCAATAGTTATGGACCCCAGGAACACCATGAGAGGGGGTCCCATCTCGGCCCTGCTGGAGCACCATGAGCCTAAGGATGGGCCATGGAGGAGCATCCACATAGCCCCCCCTTGCAGCCGGGCCATGCGCGAAGGGCTGGTGAAACTAATAAGCTTCTGCTGGCTCCGACGCCCCCCGGGGGGCGCAGGCCCTCCCGCGACAAGGGGAAACGACCGCTCTCACAGGGGGCGCCCCGGACCCATGATGCAGGAGCAAGAAAGCACAAGAGGCCTCCGCAGCTGTGCCTCAGCGATGGCGCAGCTGGACTTCTCCTGGCTGGTCTGGTCCATCACAGGATCCGACCATGAGGGTAGGCTAGGTGGAGTGGGGCCGGGCCCAGTGCAGGCGCTCGCCTTCCGCTACGCCAGTCTGTCACTAGACCCGGACATCGAAGCAGAAATCCAGGACTTTGACGAACCTACGCAGGAAGAAACCATTGCGGCAGAAAAGGGAGTACGACATACTACGCCACGCTGCTCTCTACGTGGACATAGGAGTGTGTGGCCCGACTGAGGACCTCTTCCCCCCGACTCTCCTCGTCGCGCCCAGGTTGCGACGCGACCCTGCGCCGGACGTGGCGGAGAACGGCCCAGCTGACATCGTTTCAGAACACAAGTCCAGGCTGCGCAAACACTTCGTCCACGAGCGCCGCCGCAACACGGTTCACTTCCCAGATCATAGCGAAGTCAGACAGGGGGCTATTAGTAGAGGACGCTGGGTCGATACAGGGGTGGACGTCCTCTCCATGCCACAGTGCGGCGCAGGCCGTGACGGTTGGGCCGCTCCAGCCACCCCCAGCGCCGAACCGCAGACTCCAGACACAGGCGGACCCGGAGACTCCGAGGGCGCCAACTTGGCAGGACCCTGGCCCATTAACAGCCCTTGGCAAATGATAAGGTTCGGAGATTTTTCCACCCCAACGGCAGATGCGGGCACTCTGGCTGCTGGAACACGCGCCAGGGCATCCCCGATTGCATTGTGTGCCGCAGGTTAGGATCACCATGGGTGACCACTACGGGCGACACGCACACGGGCGACCTTGAAGCCCCCGGACACCCCCTGGACCTATTGGGTGTTAAAGCCACCGTTCTTCAAAACGTTTTGCTTTTCTCACCTTCTCGGGTGATGTCCTGCGCGAGCCCTTGTCCTCCTTCTCTGTCCCTCCGATCCTCTCTCGGCCCGCCTCGCCTTCTTATTTCCGGCGTTCCCGCCTTTCCCTCGTTCCGATTCGTTCCTCCCGAAGGGTAATCCCCCTCCTCGCCCTTTCCCCTCCCCCCCACCCCTACCGCTCCGCCTGAGGAGGGGGCGGGCAGGGGGCAGGAGGAGAAGGAGGAAGGAGGGGGAGGGAACAGGCAAGAGGACTCCTCTTGCAGGCAGGAGAAGAATGAGGAGAGGAGTCCAGAGCTCCAGAGGAGGGGGGGGCAGGGGCCAGGAAGGGAGAGGGGGCAGGGGACAGGGGCAGGAGTCAGGATGAGGAGGATGAGGAGGATGAGGAGGATGAGGAGTAGGAGGAGGAGGAGGAGGAGGAG